GGCCCCTTCCGGGCAGTTGGTGGTTAATGCCCGAAGGGGGTGTGTGGAGGGATTGTGTTTGGTGATTTTAGGTCTGGTTTCCTAAAACTGAGAAAACAGGCAGGAAAAAAAAAATCAGATCAGCCCTATAGGCCTGATGTTAGAGTGAAGTGTTATTAAAAAAAAAAAAAACAACAACCTACCGGACTTCAGCCACTGCACAGCCTGTACCTGCTGATGTACTTTCCTTTCTCTGTGGAAAATAACACAGAAGAATAAAATTTCGACATCATCTAGTGTTGATGGCCTGTTAGGTTGTATCTCTTGAATAAATTAGTGGCAATAAAAACACCTCCATACATTTTTGGGAAACTTCATATTTCTCTCGAGAGCAGTGCTTGAAAGCATTTCTTGCTGTGAAGCAAGGTTGTTAAATTAGTACTTAGATCTTATAGCAGGAGGCAGGCAAGCTTATGTTTAATTTATGTAAGTGGTAGAATACTTTTATAGTTTAAAACATCCAAAATAAAGATTATATTCAACAAATTAGTATGTTACAGAATATTGCAAATTACATAAATGAAAAAGCCTAATATTTACTGACGATTGCAATATTGTTAGAGGTTAATTTTTAATTTGCTTTTGCAAAGAGATTTAGTGGACATGGACCTGAAACAGGCTTTAGTTAAACTGTTCAAATTTCTAATCTGTAAGAGGAAATGGGTTTGCCATGAGTGGTATCTCACACCACTTAATTTTTTCCTGAAAACAATATAGGACCACAACCTATTTGTACATGTCAAAAACCCATAAGCAGATCTTTAAAAATCATTGCCTCTTATAATTTTCACTTAAGGCATGGTTTTATTTTCATTGCCAGAATTCATGGTAACACTATCAGGTGAAACAGAACGGTTTAAACTCAGCTCAGCTTTTGATACTTTTTTGCACTTGCATATTCCCTCATATTACTGGATGAGTGAAACTGTAATACTAGAATACTGTGTTCTCAAAAGGTGAACCTTTTTTATTTTCATTTGAAGACAAAACATGGGACCTTATTGTACTCCCACTGTGCATTCAACTTTTAATTGGGGTTTTAGATTTATAATACTTTCTTCCGTGTTTAATTGGTGAGGCAGTTCTGACTTTTTAAATCTTGTTTTTCTTTCACAAACTATTTCAGTGTCAGGTTTAATAGACTGAGTAAAGATACTGTACAGTAATTGCCTGTAATGATCATGTAAGCTTTTGAAAGCAAATTATCAGAGAAAACATCCCTTTGGGTGAACACTGAATTGCTGGAAGTGTACCAAAAAAAGAAAAGTATTGGACAAACGTAAAAGCAAGGCTTTCTTATGGATATCTGGAAATTTGTAAGCCATGTAAGCTGGTTAAAATTTTGGAAACAAAAGAAAACAAAAGAACTCCAAATGAATTCGTAGTTATAATATCACGATTGCTTTTTAATTTTAGCCAGATAGACAAGTATGGTTCAAAGACTAACCTCAAATCCAGCCTGGTAGCTTTGTTGATTTTTTTTGTGTCAATGAATGATTTATTTGAAACAGAAAACACTGACAGTTGTTTTTAACCTAAACCATGAACTAAATTCATCAATCTCCCTCTGAGAGGAAATAAGATCATTTGAGATCACGTGTTTAGTTTAATTGTGATTTAATTGAATAATTTTTGAAGGATACATATCACAGGCACTGATGTTTGTCACCAGAAGCTAGTACTTTGAACTTGGGCATTTCTGTCTGTACATGTAAATAGGCATTTGAATTGTAAGTCTCCTGCAGTTATTTATCTCATTTAACAGCTTCATTATTCTATGTTTTAGAATGTTTTCTGTTGTGATTAAGAAAACCATGTAACCTTTGCATTAACATTGTATACAAAGGGATTCACAGGACCTGATGGTTCTCGTGGAGCCACAGGACCAAAAGGACAGAAGGTAAGAACAAAATTATGCATTAAATTATGGGATTTTTTTTTTTTAAGTAGTATTTTTGTTTGTCTCTATGCAACTAATGAGATGCTGCAGCCTTTCTTACATATTGAAACATAGTGAAACATTTATAGAGTACAGACCCATTGGGCCCTTTTTATATAGTACAAAGCAACTTCCATTCCCCCAGCCAGCAGTAAGGAATGGTGGCATTACATTGATAACATTAAGGTTGAGCATCTTCAGTAATGGTGATGGTCCTTCCATCTTGTTGTACTGTGATTATGTCATAGTAATACCCAGTGGGAACAAGAACAGTGAAACCTGACCTCATCTGCAATCAGACAAATGAAAGACAGAAGATGAATCAGACATCAGAAGTCAGAGTAACCAGCATGTCTGAATTATTTTTTTTTTGGGGGAAAAAAAGGCCTGAGGCTGTATCTTTTTAATATTGAGAAAGTCTTTCCTTTCTATCAAGTCTCACTGAAACCAGCATAGCATTAATGAAGTGAATAGTAATTGCAGAATATATCCACTAAATGATACCCTCCAAAAAGTGAGAGCATCTTCCTGTATGTTGTTTACAAAACTCGATGCTAATGCCTCTTGAAAAACTCCATTTTTATCTTCCGAAGGGTGAGCCAGGACTGCCAGGTGCTCGTGGACTTCCAGTAAGTAATACATTTAGTATATGAAGAGGCTTTTTAGACCTTAAGTATCAATAGGAAGGATTCTTACCATTAAATGTAGTGAAGAAAAGCCAGAAACTATTTCTGAGGTTTCAAAGAACTCATAAGATATTAAAGTAGTACATTAAGGAACCTTTTTGTCTTTATATCAAAGTGTGCAGATATTACTGAAAGGACATGTTTGGTTTGTAGAAAAGAAAGGAGCGTGTGTGATGTGATCACAAGTTTTGGTCGCATACCGTTGTTTTCCATCTCTTTGTGAAAATGCTGTAGAGACAGGAAAGCCCATGTTTTATTTGCATAAATTAGTCTACAGTTATTCCTATTTCAGCTCCTTGCCATGTGTTTAAATGGGATCACTGAGTGTAAATGCTGTATGGGACTTCCTGTGCTGTTCCATATGAAAACAGGATAAAATATGAGACAGAACATGCGAAGAGTACTGTTTCAGTTGGCATGCAGATGGATTTAACATCCGTCTTTGGAGGCTGAAAATAATTGTGAATTTTAGGAATTTTATAGGGTTGAAGAAGTGAATGATGGTTGGCATGTAGAAACTTAGATTATATAAGAAACTAGGAAAAACCTCAAGGAAAATGGAACAAGATGACTGGCATGAAATTGTAATAGGGCTGCACATAATTAAAATTTAATTGAATTCATTTTGGAGAAATTATTGGAATTAAATAGAAGAGGCATTGTATTCCGATATAGCACTCCTTGCTGTGAAATTCTGTATCTTCGACTGTATCTTTATATTTTTGACCCTGTCCCACTTTCATTAAGTTTATATTAAACAATCATTTTGCTATTTGGCCAGAGAGGAAATTATAATGTTATTCTTGAAGATGTTACATTATAGACATGTTCAAACTTAAGATGAATCATTCTATGTGGACATTTGCGTTTAATTTTCATGGATGCTGTTTCTTACCTAAAAATCTGGAAAATAGGTAATACTTTTATAATGGCTGGTCAATCTGTAGACTCAATATGTGAGCTAAATTTAGTCACAGAAAATAGCAGAACTGGGGTAGCTTCTAGGTAGACTGAAAGCCCCACATTTTTCTGTTGAGTTTTTTGTTTGTTTGTTTTCATTTTTTTGCTATCAGGTAGATGGGGAAATAATTTCTGTGTCATTTGTAATGCATTTTAAAATGTGTAGCTGGAATGAGGAGATAGCTTAAATCTGTCAGATATGTTACACAGATGATATGGAAAAAATTGTACGTGAAAAGAACTACTATGGGAGAGGAAAAAATGGGGAATTAAAATTGAATTACTGAAATACTAGGTTAAAATACTGTAGTATTTTAGCCTGTGAACTGAAATAAAAACTGGCTTGGGGAAAATATACATGATTTTACCTCACCATTAACAGACTAATGTGAGAACGAATAATTTAAGAGCCTTCAGAAAAAGTGGGTATATAAAATATACATAAAGAGGGTTAATCTCAATTTAGAAGTGGAGATGTTTCTATGGGAAAGCAGCAAACTGGACCAACTTGTCAAGGTAGAATGCTGATTCCGTTCAGAGCAGCACTTACCTGATTCAGGTCTTTTGTGACTACATTTTGAGACTGTAAAAGCAATAAATCTGATGAGATTTTGGACCATTGTTCAAAGTTGAGTGATTTTTGTTTGCCCTGAGACTTTCAGTCTTAAGGTGATAATGCTTCAGTGATCCTCAGTCGGCATTGCCTTTTGGGTTGTTCTGCCTCTGCTTAATAAGCAACTGAACCTTGTATTTAAAGGTGAATCTGCAGGGATATTTATAATGAGGAAATGAGAATTCTTACTTATTTAAAGGTAAAGAAAAGATGGATATACTTAGTCACCTCGTGTCATTACCCTTGTAATTGTTAACGTTAAGGTTAATCCTTAAACCTCACATTTTAGGAAGAAGCCTAGTGTTTGATTTTGTAGCTCCATGGTTGTTAACCTGTATATGCTGAATCCATATGGAAAGATTAATGCTAAAAATAAATCTCTTGGGGAAATTCCATTTATACAGGCTTTCCTTTTGATGAATGGCTTTAAGCTGCTGAAGAAATGGAGCAGTTAGAGGAAGTTTCTCAAAATGGCCAACGCTGGTCATCTCACTTTCAGTGAGATTAAACTTACAGTAATGAAACCTAATTAAAAAAAAAAAAAAGAAGGGTAGAAGTGGTAGTGCTAGAGTGTGATGGTTCTAATTCTCAGATTCAGAGACTTTTTGAGAAGATTTTACTACAAGCATGAAGTAATGGGGCTGTTTAACCTTTGCAGGTCTTTAGTTTGATCCATGAGACCATGAGACCTCATTTATTAGACACATAGTGAGCACACTTATGAGTCTGCATACTAGTTATATGATTAATTGAGTATTTAGGTGTAATTATGCATTGCTTTGAATTCAGTCAGTGGCCTTTTGCAAGTGGAGTAGTCTTTGGATGGTTATCCAAAGGCTTCATTTCTCACAAAAAACTCTTGCTTAAGTTGTTAAAATGCTCAGTGCAAAGAGAAAGTCAGAAACCTTGGTTACAACATTAATTAGTTTTAAATTATTATTATTGTTTTTCAAGCTCATCCGGTGGAATTTATTGGCCAAGTAAGGACTTCAGGGTAACTGAAAGAAAGAATACTAAGTATCTAAAGTTTTATATACAGCATTTGCTTTTCTGCTTCTGTCACCCTTTCTTCCCTAGAATGTATCCTGGCAATCTTCAGTTCTCTTCTTTTACTCTCCCTTTCCTCTATTGTTTCCTGCTTCATTTAGTTTGAATTTATTCTCTTTGTCTCATGTCTTTTGCGGGTATGACAGATTTACAAAATTAGTAGAATACTTCTGATTAATTCAAGTAATTTACCACCAAATACACTGATGTCTCTGATCTGGTCCTGGTGAATGGACCTGGGGCTGCTACATGCATGTATTGCACCCTTTAGTCCATTCTCTCTGTTAAGTTCCCTCTAACTTTTCTATTAGCTGATATATTGCTAGTGTTTTACAGATCTGACATATGGATAGGATCGTGTGCATTTAGTGGTAGAGAAATTGAAAATATTTTAAAGTCTACTAAAGCACAGCTTCCGGCACAGGGTACACGTACAAATACTGGTATGTGACTCTGCGGTGGATGGCAGCAGGTCCGCGTTGACTATGTGGAGGTACTTACCAGATCTACAGGGTGAGTGTCTCTGAACCAGGCGGTTACAGACTGTGGGTTACTGCCCGTGCCCGTGCCCTCCATGTGCTCCGTGGGTCAGAGGTACCTCCAAAGCAGGCAACAGGCATCTGGGGATGTAAGGCTGCAGTCCCCGGGCTGCATGGAGAGACTTCCCCTTTAGGATACAGACAGAGGCAGGAACATGGGCAGCTGGTTGGGTTCATTAACTGCTGTGTTTAGGGCCTTACCGGCTGATTGTCCTGGAGCTGTCAACTCCGCAACTTGGTCTGCTTGCAGGGAGTTCTTGGCCAGAAGGGTGGCGAGGGGGAGGCATGGGTTGCCAGGGGACAGCCCCTGCTTCTTGGAGTCCTAATTAGGAGGGTGAGGAGATGCAATGGAGTGGGCAGAGGAGGGAACTGGGTTCTCCTGGGCCTTTGTGTGGGCTGGACACAGTAGCTGTAGTTGCTTCTTTTGGTAGCACCGACTTTCCCTGCCACTGTTAGGGGCACGTTAGCAAGGGGTGCTCCAATGAGAACCTGCAAGTAGTTGGTTTCCTTCTTTCAGAGGCAGGTGATGTTATAATATCAGATATGTGATGCAGTGAAAGTTTGATCTGTGTAGTCAAATATAGACATGTATAATTTAATGAATTGCAGGAAGGGAGCATTAAGTAATAGCAAAGGTATTATGTAGGTTATGCAAGATGAAAAAGTTTACTTTCTGCTGTGTATTAAATGGTTTAAATGGAATGACTCTGATCAATGCCTGAAATTTTCCCTGTGTTATACCAAGTTTTCTAAAGACAACCTTGCAGATACAAGGTTGTACTTGTATCCTGTACTCAGCCCAGGCGCTTTGTTGCATCAAATCTCCTGAAGATTTAAGTATGTTTGTGATTTTATATGCCAGTGTTTCATACACATCATTGACACTGTTCTCCATAAAATTATCCATTCACTTCAGTAATGCAAGACTGAGGGATCTGTTTTCTTAGAGGGAGTGTATTGTCCAAATAGGCAGAAACACATTTGTATCTTGGATACTTCTCATTAAAATGATACAGAGCAATACTGATGGAAAATGTAAACAGGAGCAGTTTGGTGTTCTTTCTGATTACCAAAAAACGCTAGTTTAATGGATTTAGACCTCAGGGAAGCACTGGCAAAAAAAAAAAAAAATTCTCTTTTATTATCAATTTAAATGCACTGTTAGAAGGAAATGATTATAGCATAGATGTGTGTATCATGGTACTTGATAATTAGCTAAACCCAAAGGCTTTAATGTCTTCATTCCTTTGTGGAAGTATATGTGTTTGCAAATGTGTGTAAATAAATGCTACTGCAAGGCAACTTAATAATTTAATTTTTCTTGTGATATTGATTACTGAATAATAAAATTGATATTTAACATTAGTTAAACAAGTTTTCAAAATGATTTTGCAGAATCAAACATCAGTTTTTTTGTACCTTTTTATCTCAAATACTCTGTTCTTGGCGAACAGCTTGACTAGGTGTGGAATGCTTTCCACATTTCTGACATTTTTTCATAATTCACAGGGCAAGGGGCTTCTTGGACCACCTGTAAGTATAATTTTTAGAATTCATAAATGTACTGTTTAACGAATTTATTTAAATATTCAATAAAGCTCTTACACTGTTATAAAAAGTAATTCAGTGAAAAAAGAGACTGTTTTAATCCTGATGTTCTATGTCTATTATGTATGGTTTCTTCAGCTACTACTGAGGTTGCTTAGGTCTGTGGTATATGGGGCAAGAATACTGGTGTCTGAAGGCATAGTTTGTTGTTTGAGAGAATTACATGTTCTCCCTCCTTGGATGCTTGTTATAGAGGTATTGTGTGGTTTAAAAATATTATTTAACTTGGTTGTTATAGGGTCCAACAGGTGCAGCAGGACTTCCTGGGGAAGTAGGTCGTGCTGGCCCACCTGTAAGTACTACCATGTTTGCTAAAAATGTATGTTTATTCAATTGCTAGAATGTACTTATAGAAAAAATGAATAATTACTGTGCTGTCTAAACACTATTTGGGTTATAACAGCACTTGAAAACATTTTTTTTTTCCTCTACAGTGATCACTGGTAGAGGAAAGATTGTGTTTGAAGCTCATAAGGAACAGTGAATAGCACAAAGTCAGGGCCACCCATTAGATTAGAATTAAATGTTTCATATAGTGTCCCTACTCTACTTCTCCTCTTATTCAAGGAGAATTAAAATCAAAAAGTAAACCTGCCAGAAATACAGGAAATGTAAAACTTAACATTACATGTAGAACTTAGTTTTACTCTTGTCTTCTCACATATACGCTATGGTACATGACCACATACTACTTCTGTTTTCCATTTGCATATCAGTGAACATGGCAATTCAGTATTTCTTCTTAGTTTCATTTTAAGTGTGACTCCATCTACTACCTTACTGCTAAACTGTGCACTCAGTTTCAGCACACTGTCATATTTTGACTCCATACTTTACCACTGAAATGCAAATTGAAACCAATTGTTAATTTTTTACTTGAAATCTGAAATAGCATTAACATTTTGTTTAATGAAGGCTACTTATTAATGCATACCTCTCCCCAGGTGTTGTACTCAGTCATATAAATGAATATAAAAAAGAATATTAAAAACTGCCAGTTTGTTTCAGAAGGTGATCCATCTAGCTCACTGTCTTCTCTGTAGCAAGGGCAATAATGGATACCTAGTGAAGTGTACAGGCTATTTGTAAAATGACATTTTTCTCTCATACTGTCCGACATTCTGGCAGTTGGTAGTTCAGAGACTGCCTGAATCAGAAATTGCATCTGTGCTGCCTTTTTCAAAAGCTATATGTGAGCCTATCCTCCATTAATGTAGTCAGTCCCTTTTTGAATCCATTTATATCATGGGCCTCCACAACACGTTGTGATAATGAGTCCCACAGTGTAATTATACATTGTGTGGAAAAGAAATATTCCTTTTTAGTGTGTTTAAACCTATGGCTCTATAGTTCATGCATTGTGAGACTTAGTGAATAATTTTTCTATATTCATCTTGTTAATTTCATTTATGATTTAATAACATATCAAACATAATATTGAGATGACAGTATTAAGTCAAAAGGTGATCCCTATCAGAATATTAGATTTTAATTAAAAGCATTCAGAAAAAATAATTTGCAGAGGTTCTGTGTTGTCTTAATTCTGAAAGCACTGGACATCAAAACTTCACAAACAGGAGAAGATTCTAACTTGGTAAATTCATATTGGGCTCTGAAAAAGGGGATTTTTTCCTCTCTGTGCTTTGGGCATTTTTGCCAGTTACTAGGATTTTTTTAATTAAGAATTAGCAGTTATGAGATAGAGGAGTGCATAGATGATACTGTGGTCAGATGTTCCAGCTTTCTAAAGCAGCTGAAAATTTACTGTTTTTTTGTGGCTCCTATTCCACAACATGGTTCCCATTCTACTAAAAAATTGGTTTTCCTATTCTACTCTGGGAGCCATGGTGTGGGTTGATGTTTTAATTGCTACAAAGCATGTCCTTCTGTAGCTATTTAATTTCTCACTGTTGTTGTGTGGTATGCTGGTTGTCATTATTGCTTTGAATCAACAAAATTATTTTACCTTTTTTTAGGGAGATCCAGGAAAAAGAGGGCCACCAGGGCCACCAGGACCACCAGGCCCTCGGGTAAGTCGTTGCCTTTAATATGTGCCAATGTCTGACTTATGTATTTTTGCTGCTTGAACAAAACTTCTCCTCAAGTCCTATAGCTGAATACCGACTTTAGGATTTCAGCAGGCTATATTAATTCATAATGTCTACAAGCTTATGTTCAAAGCCTGAGATATAAATAATTTAATTATACCAATATTCGATCTCCCATTTAGAAAGCAAGTTTCTAGTCTTCATGGTTATAAAACATAGTTTGAAATGCAAACCGTGTAACTTCTGTCATGACGTTTTCCCATTTCTGCAAAAGGTCTTAAACTGTAACTTTTACAGGTTTTAAACTTGCATGTGAATTATAGTATTACTGTAAATGGAGTCTTTGTTGGACATCACCAGTAGTACTTCAGCACAGATAGACTTTTCTCTGTTAGGAGGAAAAAAATTTAATATTTGGCTCATGAGCCAGAAATATATGCTCCCAGGTGGGTTAAGTTCTAATGTCTTTCTTGCAACCAGGCTTGCTACTTGCAAGGGATACAAGAAAGCTTTACACCAGTGCTTTGCCTCTCTAGGGGAATGGTTATCTTCTTTGAGCCTCTTGGGAGGAGGGATGTGTGTTATGCCTTTGTCTTGTGGCTATTTACCTGCCCAGAGAGGTAAAATTGGCGTTTGGCAGACACATCGGAGGTTGGGTGCTGTGAAATGCAAACGGCTGGGAAACGTGTCATACTAATGTCTTTTTAAAAGCTGTACTGTTCCTCTGCTGGACAGACCCTAAATCCACATGCTTTCTTGTTTTCATGGAAGTTGCCAGAGAATTGGCAGGGGCATTGTAAAAAATGTGAATAGTAAAGTGGAGAAGAGAATTTAGGAAACAAGTAGAAAGGAATTCTCAGTAATGGCGTATACTGCTCCTATTCCTTGACAGTTTTGTTCTTTTTAGATTTCTGAAGTGCCACAATCCCACTCCAGTTGATGACATTATGGACCCAAACATATCCTCAGCTTTTTTTTTAAATTCTTCTGTATCAAAGGAGACAGCTCATTCCTTAAACTCTCCTGCTTCTCTATCAAACAGTGTGCTCCCTCTCACTGGGCTTTAAAGAATCCAGCTGCTGCTGTGAAATCATATTTCTCCCTGTTGTGCCTCATAAGCCTCCCGTTAGCTTCCATCAAGTGTTTGATTTAATATGAGGAATGGCCTTTCCCCCACTGAGTCCATCTTGTTGTACACTGATCTCTAGTTTATTGCAATTCCATGAACTGCTAGACATCTCACTCGTCTACCAAAATTTGTGTTGTGGGAAGATTATTTTCTCTGTAAAGATCTGAATCTTTTGCTGAATGCTAGTAAGTTGGCAAAGTAAAAGTTATCCTTATTACAGAAATTGTCTTGGGTTCTGTTGGAAATTCATGGGGTTTGTATATATTTGCTTTACATATAATTGAAAATATGCTAAAAAACAAAAGAAATACTTTATTTTTCAGAAAAGTTGATGTAAGTTAGAGGGCAGGATTTTGCAGGTACTTGCAATCCTACTATAAAATCCTACAGTACCTGCAATCCTAGAATACAATCCTACAGTTTAGATGTTTTTCATGTCGGAGATCCTTTTGTTGATTATACTTCTGATTCTAGCTTTAGATAGTAGTATTTTCTGTTTTGTCTAATGACTATATTGTCTAATGAGTTAGGTTTGGTTATTTCTCTTTTACTGACTTGGATTAATTTAATTTAATTTAGGGAACAATTGGCCTGCAAGATGGTGACCCATTGGTAAGATAGTTGTCCACATTTTTTTTTTAAATAATCTCGGACAACCTTATTCAACCTATGTCGTAGTAACTATGTGGATGCTTTTCCAGTGTCCCAATGCTTGTCCACCTGGCCGCCCAGGACATGCTGGCTTAATGGGAATGAAGGTAAGAGAATCTGTTTTATAGAATCATAGAATCATTAAGGTTGGAAAAGACCTCTAAGATCATCGAGTCCAACTATCAACTCAACACCACCATGCCCACTAAACCATGTCCCTAAGCAAGTTTTCTCAAGCATTCCTTACAGAGATACTGTCTCGAAGTACTAGGGAGGGTAATTGCTGGCTTGACAAAAGGGCAGTTTCACTGTTCGTTTCAGAAGACATTGCATCAATGTGGATGCTTAGGGTTATTTCAACTCTTGACTGCCAAAATAACCTCTTGTTGTTGAAATCTCTTACTGCTGCTGTAATCTTCAGGGTAAAATTTTTGTGTGGTCCTGAAAGGATTAGAGTATGTGAAGGATTGCTTCATTCACTTTCTGAACCATTTGTAGTTTGACTCCAGAAACTCTAAATATTCCCCCAAATCCTTAGTCTTTTTTCCTTCTTTCTCTCTTCCTGGGAGACCTATAACATACTAAATTGAAATGAACATTTTTTGAGTCTCATTTTATCTAAGATTTTTTTTTTATATACTCTTTGCTGGTTTCTAGGAATACTGTTAGCCTGAGGAAATTGTTGTGGGGTAACGTAAGAAGAAATATTAACCTGCCTAGAAATACAGCCTTGTTAGATTCAGGAGCAGATCTTTTTGAACATGGTACTTAATATGTGGTGTTAACTAGATAAGCGAGGAAGCAGTGGTGAATGGGGATTGCAGAGGGAACAGCAAGATGGTTCTGAGGATTCTGTGTCTGTTTCACAAAACTCAGTATTTTAATTTAGAATAATCTCTAATTATTTATTTATTTTGTTTTTTACATTTATTTTAGGGACAGAAAGGTTCAAAAGGAGAGTCTGGTGAACCAGGAAAACAAGGTTATAAGGTAAAAAAAAAAAGAGGAAAAACTGCTGTTGTTTTTAGCAAGCTAGTAGTAGTTTACCCTCTTCTTCAAGAACAGTATTATATTTTGTTAGAACTATTAATTGTTTTACCAGAATGCATGAAGAGATGCTACATATCATAATGCTCCAGAGTAACCAAAGGCGTATCTCTATTCTTCATTCACCTGTACTCTGTATTTATTATGATGCAGAAGTCATACTCCTCTTGCTTTTTATTTTGATCATTCAGTTTAATTATTATGGGACTCATGGCAAAAATTGAATGAAAATTTATTAGTTGGAAAACTTCCAAACATTTAAATGCAGAAGAATTCTGTGGATTTATCAAATAAATTGTTCTGTGGCACAGATGAGTAATAACAGGAAGAATGAGAGGGAAAAATGTATTTGAGAGGGAAAGTTCATACGCAAAGGAAGTTTATAACTATAGTAAAGAGGCCAAGTCCGATTCAGCTTGAAGACTGAATTGTGAACTCTTTTAAGGTGTTTCATTTGAACTAACCTTGTTTAATATTGAAATATTCATAAGAAAAGTTGAGAAGATTTGCGCTGCCTTGGTCCGTGCTTCAATGCTGGAGGAAAAAAAAACAGAAAAAAGTTTTTAAAACTACCTCTGCTCTCTATTCCTAAGCATATTGAAAAGAGTATTAATTTATTAGAAACAGCTTGTCTATTTTTTTTCCTGCATGTTGAGCAGTTGTCTTATGCTCAAAAATCCCTTTTTGCAAATTAAACTGGCAGTAAGTGCTGTCGTTCCATTAGTGTGCACTATCATTGCATGAGAGAGGTTATCATCTAATCAAATAGGGGTTTGACCAGATAAGGCATTTGACCATTTTAATTTTCAAAAAAATTCTGAAGCGCAATGTGGTATTGTGACGCAGAGCTACTAGCATATGCAGTCCATTCACACATATGAGTATACCTTCATTACACGTTTAGTCTAAAAGAACAGGAAAACCTAAAGAGATTAATGTCAAGAAAAAAAGGAATGACAGATTAAGAGTAAAATACCGTTATTCTTCTTTATACTGGGGTTGCTTTGAAGTTACCCTTTTGACTAATAGTTGAATGGAATGTGAACCTAAACAAGTATCTGTCTATGTTCTGAGGAAGTCGTGTGACTTCATTTGGATTTCCTTCAAGCAGGACATGGTGACAGAAAACAGTAAGTAGTAAATGTACCTCCTACGATGAGAGAGCAATATGCATGGTATGGATTAACTGCAGATATATTCCTTTTGCTTTCCCAGGGTGAAGAAGGGGACCAAGGACCCAGTGGTGAAGTGGGAGCTCAAGGCCCTCCAGTAAAGTATTTCGTCTTAAATAGTGTTACCCATTTGCTTTATTATGTCATATCTTTTTTTCTTCTTATTGTAAGATAACAGATATTATAGAATCTCCTTTCTTTTTATTCTGCCATATTGTCTGTGAGTGAAAGTAGAATTATTTAAGTCCCTCCAAAGAGCTACATTATCACTTGGCACAAAGCTCTAAATAGTTCTATGGAAAGGCTTATTTTAACAAGTATTTCATGTCCTAAATTTTGTGTTGTGCTTAGATTGTGCAAGTAGTTGGGGTTTTTTTGGTATTTTTTCTCGGCCTTCCTTTCCATAATTTTGATGACTCTGACTTCATCCTTGCAAAGCTAGTGTTTGTTTAAAACACGGTTTTAAACTGTGAAATTCAGGCTTAGCTAAGACTTGAGGATGAAGTAGCAGCCACTGAAGAATAGAGGGGTTTTTTTCAATTTTTTTTCTTAAGTTTTTTGCCTTTTTGCCTGCCAAAGAAGCATCCTTCAATCACACCTATGATTTTGGAATTATTTTCTTGTCCTGCTTCACTTGACTTCTTTGTTCTGGCACATACCTCCTCAGCTTGTTTCCTTGTGAGGAGTTGCTCTTTTGGTTACCACAGGTGAACAGGCAACAGGGAACAGAATAAAAGGGTCATTCTAAGTAAGAGAAATGGGCATAGGCATAACACGTTTAATTTCTATAGTTTATTTTCTGATGGGGTCTTATGCTTTTTTCCTAGGTGTGAAACTATTTCTTTAATCCATTGGTGTCCAGATGTGATATTATACAGGAGCTACCTTGATGCACATAACATCCAAATCCTAAATTACAGAATTCTCTATAAACACAAGACAGTATAAACCTCCGGATTAGGACTAGAGAAAGATGAAGAAATAACAGACACTAAGTAAAGGAAAGGGTGTAATCCTTCTTCTGTTTGATGCTGAAAAAAGTACCCTTGGTGCCCTGGTGCAGAGAAAGTACTTGTATAAGATGCAGCTTCTGCTGTCTGAAGGGCCTGTGGGGACCAATTCATTTAAATCAGTTTGGTAAAGTTCTTCAATCACTGTGAAATAACACAGTAGAATTAAAAACCAGTTAGAAATTGACTTTCCTTTCCCCCCTTTTTTTTAATGCATTACTCATTTCACTTCACTGTTTCACCAGTTGATGACCTTACAAACAAGCTTTAAAATAATTGTTTCTTATTAAAATGTAGGATTCACAATATGCAGAAAGTGATGTCAGGTAGACAACCTATGGAAAAGAGGGTAGACAAGGCTTTAGAGGCACAGATGGAGAGGCTGTAGACTCTTGTATTTTCTTGTATGTTTCTTACATAAACGAATGTAAGGCTCAGATCCATAGAAGGGGTTAGGAATCTGGTCTCCACAGCAGCACCTGCAATCCAACACTCTTATGTAATGCATTGACAAGAAGACTTGCATAAGATGGCCACCTCTGGGAGAGGTGTTGCTTTTGATAGAAAGTAGTGGGTACCGCAATGTGCCTGCTTCCATCTCTGATCTTGAAACAAGGATTAGACTGTGGGTATCTCCCTCGTTGGGCTGTAGTCACTGTTGCATTATCATGATTTTTCTCATGTCTTGGGCTGACAAAGCTTTAAATGTTCTGTGCAAGATTCCATCTAACTTCATTAGGAGCAAGTAAAAGGACTGCCCATCTAGAGTCTGGTCAATGAGTTGGTTTGTCTATGCTGCGTTGAAGTGCCTGTAGCTGTTTCGTTAACACAGTTGTAGTGCATTCTTCTTGTTGCAGGACAAACGTGTTATGGCTGAGAGTTTGGTCCCTCTGCAGAGAGGAGACATGTCATGTAGTTTCAGTCTCTCAGGAAGAGGAAAACATTGAAGCCAAATTTCCCATGAGACTGTATTTTGAAGGGAAGTGATGATAGTTATGATACATCCTGCTGCACTAGGATGTCTACTCAGTCCAGCCTCTCAGGTGTGACGGGCATATAAACTTAGCACTTGTATTCTCAAAAACCTTGCCCAATTTCGTCTACCTCTAGAGTTCTATAACATCAGATGGTGCCTTCCTCCTGCATCTGTCCTATATCCCACTTAAGACAACTTAGCACTTTTGCAAATCTGGCCTTCATGTGTTCCTTTCACACAGGCTGCACAGCGAGAACGCTTCAACTCTGTGGTAATCAGGAAGATAAATCAGTGGGTTTTTTCAGTCCTTAAGGCATATTTGTGGTTGTAGCATTCAACCTGATAGTTTTGTTATTCTTTTAAAAAGTCTTAAATTAGTAAAATATCAAATTACTATATAAATTAAATATTCTAATACAGAAGTAGCTGGATTTCTCCTTTGGTACTAAGAAAATAGTAAAGTAAGCATAAAGAAAGCATATAGAACTCTGAGTCTTCTGTCTGAAAACTAGGACAGTTCTGATGAAAAGATTTAAGCATAATTTGAATATACTTTTCATTTTCAGGGCATCCTAGGTATCAGAGGTATAACTGGTATAATGGGACCTAAAGGTACCAAAGTGAGTATTAACCTTTCTTTCCATAAAATCACCTGGATAAAAAAATGTACACTCTGAATGTTTTTAAAGCTTATTTAAATTTCTCCTTTTTTTCCCTGCATTTTCTCTCTCCCGCCAGCTGTATTTCCATAGCTACTGTACTTCTGGTTAGGAAGAAAGGCAGCTTGGTCCTTCTGATTAATGAAGTACATGTACTCTTCACACCTTTCCCTCTGATCCTTGGATTTGGATGTGTGCAAGTATGTAGTTAGCAAGACAGCAAGTTATAGCAGTTACGGACTATAGCATATTTTATTTAAAGCTAAAATTTATTAAGTAGTCCCTCCCGTGGTTTGCATCTTCCTGAAGCCTTTTGCTTCCACTGTCCCAGTTTTTGTTAGGATTTTTTATTGAGAGTTTGTTCTTTTTCCATTCTTTCTGTCTCTTGCATCTTTTGTGTCTTAAATTGCTGCCAGTGGGATTCATGTTTATATGGGCTCTGACTTTGCTGGGTAATTTTCCTGCTGTTCATCAAAGTGTTTCTAACTGTTATTTCAAAACTGACTGTTACATTTCTATTCTTATCATCTTGCTAAATCTATATGGTAAAAATTTTTGGAAGGAGTAAAATGTAGCAATCATGCCATTGTCTCCTTCTCCAGAAATGAAATCGTGGAAACCTTATTCTGTGATCGTCTGTGTTCAGAAACAACATCAGATTTGTCCTGATGAAACTTCTCATGAGTGATCATTCCTAGCCTCTTGGACACATTTGCTAAGCTCTTACTATCTTACTTTGCTTTTCTGGTCTTCTGTGTATCTTCTAATTCTTCATCATTATTTGCCTACATTTTCATGCTGTTTTGTCTATTTAAAATATTTACTACATCTGTTTGACAAAGGAGTTCCTTATTCTCTGTAAATCTTTTTGAAAACATTTTTTTCTCTCCATTTAAAATAACTTACAGGGTAGCAATTGCATTGTTTCCTTGAAACATATGTGATAAAAATAGCTGCACTGCACTTGATGATTTCTGTTCACATTTTGATGCTATTCTATTATGTGGTGAAGGATATAGTATTATTAAGGAAGACAAAGACATTTTCTGAAGTAGTGTGAAAAGGTCTACCCACTCGCTGTCTCATATGATTTTTTAGAGAATTAATTGAATGTCATTTTTTGAATTACATTGTTCCATATTTAAAAAATATTGGCTTTCATAACTCCACAAAAAACCAAGACAGATAAAAAAAAAGTTTGCCAAAATTCCTTTGTGGGTTTTTTTTTTTTTTTTAAAATTAGAGATATGAAAAACCCTCAGCTGTAGAGAATTTGCAGCTCCCAGCAAACTGGGAGGGAGCATAAGTTGTTAGTGTTTCAGCACTTCATTTTAACGTCTTGTGTTATCTATTTGTTTTCTAGGGATCTCGTGGGCTTGATGGTGAGCCTGGTCCCCAAGGTCTTCCTGGTGCACCTGTAAGTAGAGTGTGTGTTAGCCAAACTCTTCCCAGGGTCTACTCAGTTAGATACTAAGTCCTGAAACTTTGTGGCTGTGAATCAGAAAAGCCTTTGATTAATCCAATTCCATTGATTCCCCACAGGTGAATAAATGATATGACAGTGATGTCAAGTCCAGAATCTCTTACTGTCCCCAAGGAATTATGGGGTAGACGAATACATTTTAGCCTCTTAGTATGTTATTGTTACCTCTGCATTCTGATTGCTACTGTGCATTAGGGTAGCTTGGAATTTTTCAGGTTTTAAACTGGAAAATACTCATTCATTAGAACAAAACCTGTACAGGGCAATTTGTGCCTTTTTTTTTTTCCCCCCTTCTTTTCTTTTTTTAATTCTTCCCCGCTCCCTGCCCCCCCAGCTGGAATTGATGCTTGGAATAGCCAGTAACTGTATGGGTTGAAGAAGTGAGTGCAACATCTTTTGCTTAGATACTCCTGGATTCCTAGGGAATGGCTCGAGCTGTGTTTCTTAAAATGTAGCTGTCAGCCGCAGTTTTAAGAAACTGCATTTTTAAAGATAGTATGAGTTTAAGATGTCTGCTTTAACCAAATGTGAATTGTAGTGTTGTTGATTTACTGGAGGTTTTAGCTGGTTTTATTGCTAAAATAATCTTTTTTTTTTTCTTGTAGGGCGATCAAGGACAGAGAGGTCCACTGGGAGAGGCAGGTCCAAAGGGAGAAAGGGTGAGCACAGACAAATTTCAACTCGTGTTGCAAACATTGGTTACTTATAGCATATAAACATCATACAGCATAACTGGTACTCTCAAAAGAGTGTATATCTGAATGAGTATATGTTGACATTCTTTGCATCTGTCATTTCAATGCGTTTATTTTAATTTTTTAAAATTATGATTATTCTTAGGGCCCTCAAGGTACAAGAGGAATAAATGGTCTCCCTGGGCCTAAAGGAGAGTCTGTATGTATATTTCATTTCTTCATTTACTTCATGTCATGCTAATTTGTATATCAGAGTGCTTGGGTGAAATCTCTCCAACAATACATTCTTTTTTTTTCTTTTTTTTCTTTCAAGGGCTTACCAGGAGTCGATGGCCGGGAAGGGATCCCTGGAATGCCTGGAGCAAAAGTAAGGCACGGTTGGCATATATCTGATCTTTGGTAGTGCCCTGGATTTGTTCGCTCATTTGTGGCTTTTTATTGTGCTGCTGCCCGTGACTTTATGCACATTATTAGGGTAATTGAATGAACTTTCCCATCCTACAGATCCAAAAGTACTCCAGCTCTGTGTTCCAGAAATAAAATTTTCCCTTTTTTTTGATTTGCGTAAATTACAACTTAAAATATTTTCAGGGTGAACCAGGAAAACCCGGAGCTCCAGGTGATGCAGGGCTTCAGGGACTTCCAGTAAGTATCTGGTATTTTACCTTTGAAAGTTAGGCTTAGTTCAAACCACAGAAAGGCCATATATGGGTTAGTTTGATGCTGATGTTGGAGTAATTTAAGTGAAAACTTAACCAAAAGGCCCAGGAAGAGTATGTGTAATGCAAGGGGAAATTCTGCTATGTCTATCCAAAACTTTTGTACAAAAGCCTTGATCTTCTCATGGTACCGTAGTGAGGAACTTGGTCTTACAAAACGTTTCTGGCCAGTATGCAATTCTTTTAGGGTTTCTCATGTCTGAGACCCTGTGGATATTATGGTGTGACCCCACAATTAGAGCTGGTCTCGTTGTATTGACTATGGCCAAACCTATTCCCAGGGGGAGCTGGAAAAGCCAACCTGCTAGTCTAACATACCTTAGATGAACAATCATGTCTTTTTGATATTCTGCTGGCACAGAACATCTGGAATGCATCATGCTCATACTTCTTTCTGCGGGGCAGGGGGGGAGTTTTCTAGTGTATCCCCTGTGGTGAAGTTATATGGAATCAGTAGTGCTTTATAGACTCTTTTAAAAGGTAATCCTCACACACTAACTGAATAAGTTTGAAAACTCTGCCAACTGTCAAAAGCTAAATAGAAACTCCTTTGAAACACTGTGCTATAGGAGTAATTGCTGTGAGGATATAGTGAAGGAGCTGTATTAAAACAGAACTGGAAGTAAATTTGTAATATGAAGTGAGCTCTTAAGCTTCAAGAAAATTTGATAAAAGCATAGTTGCTATGAGCTGTTGCCCAGAAGTGAGGAGGGGATGAAATGTATACAAAAAGTATCTGTTAAACTCTCCAACTCCAGTGTCAGAATACTGGGACCGAGAATCTATTTCTAGTCTAAGCCAGAACCCTTCACTTTTCCATGCTCTTTTTGCCAATTTATGAAGTTTATTTATTTGTTACTTTGTAAATAGAAAGAATTCAAGCTTGGTCCGTTATTGGATAAAAGCGCTTCAATATCAAGTAAAAGGACTAGAAATACTTTAATGTGAGAAAGATGTTTTTTAACACCATTTCCAATCCCCTTAACATTTACAGTGTTTATTTGTTGTTATTTCTTTCAGGGTTTACCAGGCTCGCC